CAAGGGAGGCAGGTAGACGGCCTCCAGGATGACCCCCAGGACTGCCTTCTTGATTTGTACCAGCATCGGTCTGTGTGACAAGGGCAGAGGTGACAGTATGTCACTCCTGATATCAGATTATAAAAGACACGGTGGCTTTCATCGTGGCCACACATGCTCATTCTTCTTGGATCACTTGCTCTGGGGGAAGCCATCTGTCATGTCATGAGCAGCACTATGCAGAGTCCACGTGGTAAAGAACTGAAACCTCCTGCCAACAGCCATGTGAGGCAGCTTGCAAGAGCTTGCTAGACAATATTCACGGATGAATGAATGAATGAATGAGGAATGAATGAATGAATGAATGAATGAAGACTGCAATGTCATTGAGAGATCCGGAGCCAGCACAACCCAGCCAAGCAGCTCCGCTCGGCTGAACTGCTCCCAAACTTCCAACCCTTACGAAGTTATATGAGATAACCAATGCTGTTTTAAGCTGCTAAATTTGGGGTAACTTGTTATGCCACAACAGACAACCAACTCATGGCTGATGTCTCAGTGGGAACTTAGAAGGGTGGTCAAAGAGATCGGAGAACGTTGAGGCTGGGATAACAAGAAACCAGGAAAGAGATTATTTCGTGGAGGAGGGTCTGATCTGTGCTGCCAAAACTCCACCAAGTGGAAGAGAAATGGGATTTTCAACAAAAGGGTGGTTGGCAACCTTGGCGAAAGCAGTCAGTAGAGTGTAGGAGGGCAGAAACCAGGTGATAGTAGACTGCAGAGTAAGTAATAATAAAAGCTGTAATTTTTTCCATTGTCATACTTAATTGGGAGGAAAAAAAATCCTAGTGATACGTATCATAATCCCCATTCCAGAGATGAGAAAGCCAGAGTCACACCGCTACTACATGGTAAACTCTGGCCCCCTCCCCAAGTGGATTCTTAGCGTATTCTATCTAACTGTATTCATTACTCTTTCTGGGAAGAGTTCTGATAAATTCCATTTTGGTAACCTCATCCCATTTGCAGTGACGTTCTTGCATCCTTAATAATTTCGGTGTCCCAGATGGGGCTGCCCAGAAGGGATGGATGTCCCTTCGTCTAACTCTGCCTAACTCAGCCTTCCTGCCTTAGGTGAGGCCTTGGGAAAAGAAGTGACAAATTAAAGTGAGTGCAAAGCCATTCTCCCATTCATTCCATAGTTAACTTCTTGAGCTCTTTGTAAGAGCCTGAGCCCCTGGGCCAGCCTTCTGAGCCGTGAGCGGGCCACCAAGGAGATGTTTTACATACGAAGCCAGCACTCTATAAGCAGAAGAAAGTCTGCCTTAACTTCCTAAAGAGGGGGCCCCTACCCAAGGTTGAATAAAGCCCCACATCAACAAACGAAGCAATCAGAGTAATCACTCCGCGGTGATTAATAGCAATAACTCCTGGGTCTCGTACATGGAGCTAGAGATGTGTAGCTATTTCTAGCTCTTACTGTGTTCCGATGTCTTTGACCTTCAGTCAATCAGTTTGCTTTCCTGTGACCCACACCGCCTCCCCACTGAAAGGTTTCCTGAGAAAGGCTTGCCCTGTTAGAAGGCCCCCCCCCAAGCTCCCCCCCAGACCTGCTTGAGCTTTATCAAGTGACCACCTGGTGGCATGATCAACCTTCCTGGCTTTGGACTCACAACAGGCCTCCACTGGGAGTCCAGCTCTGGCGTTATCTATGTGATTTTGAGTGGGTTACACTTTTTATCTTTATCCTCTCTAGGTTTCTCTCCTCGAAGAAGTATAGCATTACCCCAAGTACAGCAGGGAGAAAAAAAAAAATGTATGTAAAACTGTGACTGCCAGACTTCCTCATTCGAGGGTGGGGCAGGATTCATCTCCGAGGTGCTTGGCTCATTTGTTGAGGAAAATGCTTTAGTAAACTTGTGTGGCTAAGAAAATCAGCTGAGCACCCTCATGTTCACCCATTTCAATTTCTTCTCTGACCCCAGATCGAGAATAGCCCAGAATGGAGGCATTTGTTCAAGAGAGCTAAATTTCTTTGTGTAACAAAGTAACAAGAAATAGCTGACTCAAAAAAAAAAAAAAAAAAGAGAAAGAAAGAAAGAAAGAAAAAAAAAGAAGGAAAGAAAGAAAAAGAAATAGCTGACTCCGGGGTGGGGAACAGCAGAGAGATGGAAGAGAAGAGAAGGTGTTTGGGGTGGCGGGGGGGGGGGGGAGCGGGGAATGACCATAGGCAGGGCTCTGCAGGGCAGGACAGCCAGGGGAGGGAGGTGGCAAGCATGTGTGTGGTGTTTCCAGCTGTTGCTTGCTCTAAGGGGTGCTACAGCTACCCCATCTCGTCTCCAACCTCCAGTAAAAGTCCTCCACACAAAATGGCCCTGTGTTCTTAGGGCTTTAGGGATAGAAGGGTGGAAGGAAGGAGCTCAGCTTGCTATGAGTAAGAGTGATGGGTCAAGTGAATGACATTGTCAGGAGGCAGATACAAGAGGTTGAATTCAGCCAGAACAGGAATTCATAAGGAAGAGTGATCGTCCTCAGAATCCTTGAAGATGTTGGGGAGAACACAGAGATCCCACAAAGTTTGGTATGGGGACTGGGCTGTTTAGAAAAAACAAACAAACATGATCCGGGAAGACTAGTAAAAATCAAGTTATATAAGGATTAAGTGAAAGAAAGTACATAAAGCATAATTAACTCAGAGCCCAGCCCGCGATAAGCACTGAACTATGGGTAGCTTATTATGATTTAGTGTGCAATTTCCTCTTTCCTTCACCCCTTTGAACTTTAAGGGCTCACAATCTACTTGAGAATTATGATAGAGTCATTCATCATTCCACAAACATGTATCAGATTCTTCCTGCGTATCAGGTAAGTTAAATAATTTCAGGCAGTGGTGATCATCATCGCTAATGTTATTCAGGTCTCAAGATGGGCCACGTACTGTGCTCCGTGTCTCACCTGGCTTACCTGGCGTCTTTCATTTGATCCTCACAACACTCCTGGGGAGAAACAGTTACTTCTCCCACTTTATAAATGATGAGGCTGAGGCACAGTAAAGTTGAGTGACTTGCTCAGACCACACAGCTAGCCAGTGGGGGGGGGGCGCAATGTTTGACCCCAGGGAGTTGGATTTCAGTGGACTGTTTTTTTTTAATTTCCTTTAAGATTCTATCTATCTATCTATCTATCTATCTATCTATCTATCTATCTTTTATCTATTTATTTAAGAGAGAGAAAGCACAAGCCAGGTGGGTGTGGGTGGGTAGGTGGGGAAGGGCAGAGGGAGAAAGAGAAGCAGATTCCCCATCGAGTGACGTGGCAGGGGCACTGGGGCCTCCATCCCAGGACCCTGGGATCACGATCTGAGCCGGAGACAGATGTTTAACCCACTGAGCCTTCCAGGCGCCCCATTCTCCATGCTTCGTTGTTTTTGAATGCAACCGACCTGTGCCTGAGTTATAACCTACAGAAGGGGCGGGATCATCAGGGAAGGGTCCTGGGGAGGTCAAACTACAAGTACAGCCAGGATTTTCTTGCTTCCTTTCTCCTCCTTCCTCCCATTCCCTTTCTAGCTCTGAGCTCTCAAGATGGGAGTGACATCGGGATCCCAACACTTTTGTGTGTTCAGAGCGCCTCATCAGCTGGTTTGAGTCCTCCCTTTCTATCTGGGCCCACCACTAGCAGGGGGAAGGAGGGAAGGAAAAGAAAGAGAAGACCCATTAAAGCAACCAATAGATAATTAGAAAGTGACTATTTTGCCATAATGCAGCACAACAGCAATAAATAAATCAATCACCTGGGGGGGATGGGGGATGAGTTTCCTATAATCAGCTATTAAAGGCTTGTACCACTAATTAGTCTATTAATTAGAACTGTTCTCGTCCCTCCACATGTTATCAGCCTGCCAAGGCAAAGAAAACTCAGCCCCAGGGGCAGGAGATAAGAGAAGCAAGAAAGACGGAAGTAGCAGATTCAAACAGCTGGGCATGTGTGTGTTTTAAAAGCACAGTTCTTAGTGCCCGGGGCAAATCCACCTGCTAGTAGGAAAGGAACGTTTATCAAAAACCAAAGGGCTGTTGTCTTTGTTGAGCAGAAAAGGAAGAAACGATTTAATCTTTAAAGAGAAAAACCACCGTAACCACACAAGGGGATCTGTGAAGGGCAGTTCCACTGGGTGGTTCCCTGGGGCACTGGACACAGTGAGAAGCAGGCAGGCTGAGCAGAGGCAGCCTTATCAGAAGATTCAGGAGCCCGGTGCTCCCCCGCTTGAGGCTGAAGTGGGCTAAGCTCGGGCAAACTAACACATAAGGAGTTCCTACTACGTGCCAGGCACCACCTCTGTTCTTCACGTTGGCAACATCTTGTTTGATGATTTCACCGACATTCTTAGAGCGCCCCAGAGTTATTTCTGGGAGTTCTCAAAAAGGAGCCCCATGGGAGCCCTCATAGCTGTGGCCACCAGAATACGGTTGCTCAGCTCTTCCTCTATTCTTCTGACTCTCAGTGGTCCGTGCCTCCTGCCCACCAAGAGCCTGAAAAAGCCTCTCCTCATGGAGGCTGACCTCTCATCACGGAGGCCGGCTCAAAGGGCCCAGAAACTCACAGGTCATCCTGGAACAGCTCAAACAGGCGCTGAGCTGCTCAGTGCTCTCCGCGTCCCCAGGAGAGGTCCAGCAAGGAGGACTGTGGCATTTCAGACTCCTTCCTTCCCTTTTCCAGCTCCTCTGCTCCCATCCACCCTCCCCTAGCTACCAAACTGCCATTCCCATGCACTCAAATGAAAACTAGCAGACACAGAGTGGGGTTGTCGGAGGCAGGTGTCTCCACTAGCAACAGCCCACCAGCAGCTGTTAGGTTATCTTGTTTAATCCTTGGAACAACCGTGTGACAGCTATTATCAATCCCGTTTTTCAGAATGGGGGACCTGTGGCTCAGAGAGGTGAGATCATTTGGCCAGTCTTCCACAGGCAGTGACAAAGCACTTAGCAAGAGCTCAGTAAACATTTGCTGACAGAATTGGAAACATGGAGATGGAAGATGTCCAGTTCGGGGGGGGGGGACCTCGGAGCTCTCAGGGGTCCAACCGTGTGGTAAAAGGGGGCTGTCAAGTGAGACAACACTCCATAGTGACAGAAGAGCCAAAGATGGGGACTATAGAGTCAACCTCAAGGTCAATCGCTCCCTTCCCCACTCCTTCCTGCCCTAATACCTGTTGTTATACAGTTCACTTTCTACCAACAATGCATTACCCCTCCCTCCCAAAGAAAGCCTTTCAGAAATGATAAGTGGTGACACTTTCCAGCTGCATGATGGTCAGGAGGTCAATATGTATGTGTCCGAACATTGCTTTCTCCTTTGGGAGTGAGAAGGAGGGGCAGTGGTGATGTAGGAATGGGGAAAGCCTGGGCTTGGCGGCCAGTGACCAGCCTCTGTTCCCTGCCACCTAACTAGGTGACCTCAGGCAAATAGCTTTGCATTATCTACCTTTAGTTTCTTCGTATGCAAAATGGGAAATGTCAGCCGCCTACCCCCAAATGTTATTGTGAGGATTAAGTGAAGTAATACAACCCTACTATTATATATAGAGAGAGAACTTCACAATTACAAAGTACTTCCGTATATATATCTCTGGCAACCTTCAGACGCTCAACCCTGGGTATTATGATCCTTATTTTTCAGTTGAGGAAATCAAAGACCCAGAAAGATCGAAACTCATTTGCAAACAGTGAGCAGTGCTATTGTTCAAAAGCAGGATGTCTGGTCCTACCATGTCTGACTTTCAGATCATGCAGCACCATTGCATTTGTCCCAGAGTCTCTCATCTGGAGTATGTGTCTTCTTCAAAGTTTCAATTCATTCAATAAATATTGGCTGCATTTCTGCCTGGCACCAGGTACTGAGGATGCTTTGCAGAGCTCCTAGTGTGGCAGAGAAAGCAGACATCACAGAACTAAGGAACAATACAGTGTGATGAACATTATAGCAGAAGAGCAGGTGACACAGGAAGAGACCATAGGGAAATCTGAAGAGCGCGTAAGCCATAGCCTCATACAAAAATCAGGGAAGGGCATTCTCAGCTCAAGGTAGGAAAGGGCATGGTGTTTAGGACCACTGAAGTATAGAGGGTAAGAGGAAAGCTACGAGAGAGGAGGCTGGAGGGTCAGCTGAGTCCAGGTTGAGGAGGCTTGGCAAGAGGGTAAAGGAGTTTGGACCTCATCCTTGGTACAATGTGGAGCTACCTAGGGTTTTAAGTAAGAAAATGATTGAAATCGTGGGAAGATTTTTTCTGGCTGGGATGTGGAGACTGGATCTGAGCCTGGCAAGACTGGAGGTGGGGAGAGCAGATAGATGGAGAAAAAGGCAGAAATCCAGGCAAGATATAATGGTGAGCTGAGTTCCAGATAGGGTCAATGGGGATGGAGACTGGACAATCTTTGAAACAGATTTAGGAAGTAAAACCAAGAAGTGGTGATTGATGGGGAATGCGCATGGAGAGGGGGAAGTGAGAGGCAAGAGTCAAGGATGACATTATCTTGTGTAATGGGTGTGTGATGGTTTCCCATATTGGATAAGGGGACTTTAGGGGTAGAGTATCTGCTTTCTATCAGGTGTATTCTGCAAGAACTTGTGCCCCAACTTTGCCAGGAACCTCTAAATCATGGCTCTCTCACCTGGAGGACGAGGAATGGACGAAAAGATCCTGCCACTTTGAGAATTCCCTTTGCCAGGCACGGAGTTGTGCACGTGGTAGCTTTATGCTGGTGGTGCATCAACAGGGAGGAGGAGAGGCGCTGAGTTCCTTTGGAGCAAAGGGATTCATCTCTCGGCCTCCTACCGTTCCCAAGGCAGCTTCCTTTTCTTTGGTTTTGAAGAGCTTTTGTCAAGGGCATACCATATAAGGCCCATTAGTATTTGCCGAGGGGGAAAACTGATCTTAAAAGAATTTATTATCAAGAAGGACCAATAAGACAACCAACCACAAAACCATTACGGTTCCATGTGTATAGTGTTACTAGCCATAAATGGCATAAAGAACATGCTCCCAGAAAACCGAGGTCCCAGATGGCACTTCGGAGTGGCAAAAATCAGAAGGAAGAGGCCTCTGAGGCGGTGTTACGGAAAAGATGGAATTTCTACAGGCAGAAATGTGAGCTTGGGGGTACAAAGGAGATATTCTGAAGGAGGGAGCACCACGATCAAAGATGGCACCAGGTACAGGTAGTCACCAGCTCAGCCCCCTGCCCTCTGAGGGTATCTGCAGGCACAATTCTTAAACTGGGGTCCACACAGCGCTTTGAGAAGCCTGACAATGCTCCGACTCTGCAAAAACTGTGTTTATATCTGCACGTGGACTTTGCTGGAGAGTGGGCTCACAGCTCTCCTCCAATTCTCAGAAGGGTCTGGATCTGAGAAAAGGTTAGCAAACAGCACTCCCCGTTCTCCCGAATTAGAATTTACAGGTGGGCTGGAGGCGTGTGTGCGTGTGTGTGTGTGTGTGTGTGTGTGTTAAAGAAGCTCGGTTGGGAATTGACCGGTCCATGCATGCATGCACACTTTGGGATCTTTCTTGATAGGCCCCAGGAGGCCTTGGAATGCTGGCCTCCCGGGCTCCCTCTCCCTGCCCTTTGCCCACGCCTGATCCCCGCCACACACACACACACACACACACACACACACACACACACACACACAGGCTGTCTACAAGAGTATCACCACCTGCACCACAGTCTCCACCGCCCTGGGAGAGAAATCAAGGAGGCAAGGTCAGAGGAGCTGGGGGGCGGGGGGGGGGGAGTGGAGGGGGGTTGGGTGGGGGGTGGAAATCCGGGAATCAGGCAAAAAGTCTGAATCGCCGTTGGAGATCGGGCGGGAGGGGAGCCGTCCTGGCCTGAATCTGGAGACGGGGAGTGGAGCTCTAGGGCCCCCGCCCCGCGGCAAGGCTTCGGTCAGATTCTGGGAATTTCCCACTCGGCCCGGGCTGCGGCAGATCTTCCCGGACGCGAGCGTGCGCTGCCCGCGGCGGCCGCTGGGGGGCGCTGCGCGGGGCCCGGAGCGTGGGAAGCAGCGCGGGCGCGCGGGCGGGCTGAGCTCACGCTCCCGGGCAGCGGCGGCGGCGGCGGCGGCGGCGGCGGCGGCGGGTCCGCAGCGGCTGCGCATCGCGCTCGGGGGCTGCGAGGCGGGCTGCGCGGTCCCCCGGGAGGGCGGAGGCCGCCGGAGGTGAGCGCGGGGCCCCGGCGGGGTGTCCGGCGTTGCAGGCGCGCGCGGCGGGCGGGGGCGGGGGCGAGGGTGCGCACCGCGGGCCGGGCCTGCGGACGCTCCCCGGGGACCCCGGGGCGCGGGGCGGGGGGGGGGCGATGCCGGGGCCGCGCTCGGCTCGTGCGCCCACCCCCGCTGCGGCGCGGCCTCGGGGTGCGGCGGCCCCGGCCGCGTGGGAGGCGGCGGCTCGCGGCTGGGGCCCCCCCTCCCCGGGGCTCCGGGGCTGCAGGGCTCGCCGCGCGGGGGGGGGGCGCAGGAGCAGCCCCCCGCGCCCCCGCCGCCGCCCCGGCCCGCTCCCACCTTGCATTTCTGGCTCCGCAGTGGGCGTGGTGCCCCTTTGCTGCAGAGGGGGCGCCCGGAGTTGAGGAAGGCAGTGGGGGAGGGAGGGCGCGGAGACAGGTGGTTGAGGGGGCGAGGGCTGGTGCGCCGAGGCTCGTGATGCTAATGCGTGTTCCTTTCTCCCCCCTTCCTCAGGGGGCGCGGAGGTGCGCGTGGAGGCGGCGGCGGAAAGGCCGGAGGCATGGCTCGGGGGAGGGCGGGCTGCGCGAGCTGCCGCTGGGCTCTGGGGCGCTCTGCTCAGCCCCCACCCCCACCCCCCAAATTACTAAAGTGGGTGGGGTGATGAGGGTGGAGGAGCTGGGGGAGACCCCAAGTGCCCCAAGTGCCCCCAGCCGGCCGCCTGGCTCCCCGTGCAGAGCCCGCACCCCAGCACCCTGCAGAGGCCGGGGTGGGGGTGGGGTGGGGTGGGGGTGTCTGAGCAAGCCCTCTGTTAAAGAAGCTTCAGCGCCAGAGTCAGCTCCAGAGACGGGGTGGGGGGCGGGGGGCGCTGGAGGTGAGGGGGAGCCTCCAAGCCTCTAGTCTCAAGTTCATAGATAGTGGGAGGTGGGGTCTGTGGGGGGGAGGAGGACAGGGCAATGTCCTTAGGACCCCCTTCCTTCCAGCTTTTCAGGAGCCGCACACCAAGTTCGGGATTTGGCATTTGCCAAATGTGCTGATTTCTTTTTTTTTTCTTTCCCTTTCGGTTTGTTTTGTTTGTTTGTTTGTTTGTTTGTTTGTTTTAGGGGAGCTGCAAGTGACCGAGCAGAGGGACGGCCAGACCGACCGGCCCAGCCAATCCTGGAGCCGCTGCAGTACTTGTGGTGCAAGGACAGAGAGGAGGGGGCTGCTGGCTCGCAGGCTCGCAGGCTCGCAGGCCCTCCGGGGCCCGGGGCCCCCTTGCCGGTCCCCCGTGGGAAGGGCGGCCTGGCACCTGAGGTGGCGTGGACGGAGGCGGCCGCGGGCCGGGGTGGTGATGGCGCTGCAGCCCCTCCCTGCTGCCCGGCGTGGGAAGAAGAAAGCAGAGCCAGGCAAGTCTCTCTCTGTGTCCTCTGGGGTGGAAGGAGCAGGTACAGACAGGGCTGGGGCAGCCGGGGCCTGGTGTCGCTTTGGCATTGGTGAAAGGCCTTTACCTCCAGCCCCTCGGGTTTGGTTCCACCCCTGGCCTGTCCCTGGCACTCACCGACTGTGTCTCTGTGCTTATTGGTGCCACCATGTTATATAACGCTTATATAATCTCCCGGGGCAAGCGCCGTGTCTCCTCCGCTCTCAGGGCACGCTGACACTGTGTCCCTGTGGGAGGCAGGAGCTGTAGAAGCTTGCGGGTGGACCTTACGTCTGGTCCTCAGCCTGGCTCCTCCCCCCGATCCTGGGCAGTGGAGGGAGAGAGGGAAGACGGGAGCCCATCCGCACCAGCTAGCGGGGGCTAAGAAAGAAGAGTTGACTGGGTGGCCTCCTCCTCGCCTTCTTGCTTCTTTAGGCCCCCTGGCCCAGGGATCTGTCTGGTGGAATGGATGCCATTCTTGTGTTTTGGGGCCGGTGTTTGTTCTTGGGGCCCCCTGGTGTGGCACATGGGTGTGGTGGGATGACCCCTAGGATGATGTAGTGGAGGAAACATGGTGTACATAGGCTTGGGTAGAGAGAGGCAGAAATTAGCCGTGCTTTGAGGTTTTGAACAGAAGTGACTAGAAGGATGGTAGTGGCGTTATGAGAAATTTGGAGTAGGCCTAGGAGCTAGGAGATGGTCAGGGAAGGGTGTACAGGGAAGTGGATCAGACAGCAAAGATAAACATGGTGTTCTTTTACTGTACTCTCCACTGGGCTGTCCCTGGTTACCAGGGCAACAGAAGCAGTGATGAAAATCATGCCTTTCGTTCAGTGGAAAAATCTGGCTCCTCCTCCCGCCTCTTCCTTCTCTAATCGCCTGCGACCCATTGGGAGGTTGATGGCTCCAGGGATCAGAGATCCCAGTGTATCCCCATCAGGTGCCCTGTTCCCCCATTTTTTAATCATCTCGCCCCTTCCTGTCTCCCTCATCTCTCCCCCAGAGCTCGGCAGTTGCGCAGGACTTGGAGTGGATGGAGGGGGAAGGGCACGGACGTCATCGCAGGGCAGGGCGAGCAGAGCGTGGGCAGAGATGTCGATGCAGGGAATGACTGGCGCACGAGGAGGGTCAGGCGTTGATTAGCTAGATGGCGCTTGTTTCTAGGGTGGTAGGAGCTGGGGGTGGGAAGGGTGGGTGAGGGCCTGCAGAGCCGGGCTGCGTAGGCTTCCCCGTAGTAGGGAATAGGAAGTCCTCAAGGTTTCTTTTGGGGGTCCTGGCTCCCCATAAAAGCAAGCGTTCATTCATTCAGCAGATACTGGGTACCAGCCATGTTAAGTAAGGTTCTGGGAGCTGGGAAGACCGGACCGGGCCTTGACCTTGAAGACATCGAAATAGATGGGAGGAAGGTAGGTGTACAGGGGAGGATCAGCCTGGCTTTGTTACAAGCCTGGAATCTGGGGCCGCAGGCGGGAGACTGGCGGTATTCCAGACTGGAGGCGATGGGTTTAGGGTGGAGCCTGCGGGAATGCAGAGGAAGAGTAGCTCAGAGAGCCACTTTGGCTTATGGATGGGACATGGGCAAGAGATGGTGCTAAGATTTTGGGTCTGAGTGATTGACAGAAAAATCAGGATTCAGACTTCTTCAGGGGCATCATGTTTGATTTGACTTCAGACTTCCTGTCTTCAAGACCATGGCAGGGTGTCCAGATAGAAATGTTGATGGTCAGGCATATAAAGTTTGCAGTGGAAGTCAATCCTGGGAAGAAACTTGTAGGAAATTGTGTTACGAAGTCTTGAAGGTGCTGGGTTGCTAAGAACGTATCCAGGGAAAGAGAGCGAGCCCGGGGCACAGGGCATCGGCCTAGATTGGGTGAGGCTGTATGTCACGTATTTGTTTAGGATCCCAGTGCTCGCCCAGACTGCTGGACCCGTTTCTGCTAACGAACACCCATGTGTGCTACCAAACCACACCCATTTTTGAAGTTCAGGTTTCTGTTTAAGTTTCCTTCTCCCTAGTAACTATGTCCAGGAGGACGTGTCCCGGAAAGGTAGCCCTGTGCACTTACTTCTCCAAGCTTTCTCCTGGCCCTTTGCTGTACCAGCCACTTAGAGATTACTGAGGGGCCCCAAGATGTGCCTGTAGAGAGGTGAGCCATAGGTCCTTAGCCTCCCCCAGGAAGGCTGTTCCGGCTTTCCCGGTCATCACTCTAGAGGTACTAGGGTACCGGACAGAGGGTGTCAGGAGGCTTTGCCAGCTGTGTGATCTTGGGCGAGGTACTCCCCTTTTCTAGGCCTTAGAACCTAGTCTAAGAGGTCTGGTTTCTTCCACCTCCGAAGCCTTCAAATTTGACATCCAAAGCTTTTTTCCACCTCTGTCCAGGCTTCTGCTACGGGCCAGGCTTTTGGAACAAGCCACCCAGATTTCTTTCACGCTTTGTGGGAAGGAGTAGCAGGATGGAGGCCTGGTCTCCAGGGTAGGCCCCTGTCTCCCGAACGGGTGGGAGCCCTTCTGAGGGCGTGTGGCCCCTGTTCCTCGTGGGAGTGTAGAAATGCCGAAAGAGTAGGTTTTCCCAGTGACCAAGTGTTGGCAGACTACAACCCCTGGGTCAGACCCCTCTTTTGTAAATAAAGATTTATTGGAACCCAGACTTGCTCTTCGTCTCTGTACGAACTATGGCTGCTTGCCAGCTGCGTAGGTGTAGCTGAGTGTCTGCGACAAAGACCCTGATCGGAAGCCTGAAGTATTTACTCTCCTGCCGTTTAAGAAAAAATGTGCCCTAGACCACCAGAGTGCTTCCGTCTCCACTTGGAGATGCTGACTGTGGCCATTTCCCATTCCTGAGGTTCTTGGAGGCTCTGCGTTGGACCTGCCTTCGTCTTCCCACGAGAGACCGGTGTGGCAGTTGAGATAGGAGCTCGTTGGAGTCAGCCCAGAGATCGCCGTCCCGTGTCTGGGAGATCCCGTTCATTTCGGCCCCCTCCCCACAGCCTTTCCCTGGTGCCCCTCTCCAGGTCACCTCTTGGAGCCTGGTGACCTGAATTCCTCCGTAGCGCCGGGTCGTGGCCTTGCTGTGACAGCCGACGCTCCCTCTCTTCTCATTCTGATTCCCTAGCTAGGCCTTGCAGAGCAGAATGGACCAACGCACACCCCGTAAGGAGGACAGGCTGGTTGGTTCCACCGGGTCCTGCAGCGTGTTTCCCTTGATACCTTCGCTTCGTCACTCTTCCAGCCTCACCGCCCCTCTTAGTGCCAGGGCCCCCGGAGATGCATTCGCGGAGAGCCTGCCACCAAGCCTCGTTTGTCTGCCTGAGCCTGGCACTCCTCCACTCTGTCAGAACGGGGCTCTCTGGCCTGGAGCTTGTGGGGTGTGTGTGTGTGTGTGTGTGTGTGTGTGTGTGTGTGTGTCTGTGTTGGCTTGGATGCGGAGGCCGTATTCAGGATTCTCGTGGCCAGCCTTCACGGTGTCCTCTTCCACACTTTTGACCTTGGTCCTCCAACCAGAGTTGTGGTGAAACCCCTGGGTAGGAGCAGGAGAAGCCACCCCCCTCCTTACTACCGGACGGCGGCCTAGCAGTTGTGTCACTGCTGGTCGGGGCTGGGATAGGAAGTGAGGTACTTTGGTGGCGAGAGGAAACCACGTTCTGTGAACCGCGTTGGGGGGTGGGGGTGACTGAGGTTTATTCCCATTGCAGCTGGAAAGGAGGAGGCTGGCAGTGGGAGGAGGGAGCAGACAACCCAGAATAGCAAAGAAGACAGAAGCTAAGCGCACTCAGAGCTGCTTTTAGCTGGTAATGGTGAGCCTGGCCCTAGGAGTCTTACTTCACACCTCCCTACACACATTTTCCCCTGAGGCTGGCTCTCTGGCTGTTCTCACCCCCCCCCCCCACAAAAAGAAAAAAAAAAGATCCTTATCAAAAGTTCTCTCTAGACCCCCCTCCCCCGGAGGGGGCTCAGGTGGTTAAGCATCCACCTTCAGCTCTGGTCACCATCTCAAGGTCCTGGGATCCGGTCCCACTTTGGGCTCCCTGCTCAGCGGGGAGTCTGCTTCTCCCTCTCCCTCTGTGCTCTCTCAAATAAATAAATCTTTTAAAAAAAAAAAAGTCCTCTCTAAATACCTTTCATCTGTAGAACTTAGGGTGACCCCGTCCTCCCTGAGCTTGAACTGATGTTGACACAAGTGCAGTGACTTGGGGAAATATTTGTGTACCAGACACTTCTGTGTAGGGCACTGTGTGAAGTTCTCAGGCTACTGAGGAACATTCCGGATTCACAGTCTGGTCAGGAAGGCGTATGGACAGTTGAACCCATGATAATATGATCTGTGCTAGAACCCAGGCTTCAAGAGAGCCCATGTGTTGTCGGTCCTGTTCGGTGCCATCATCAGGGCGCAGGGGATTGTGCTTGGCATGCTGTAGGCGCGCACACGTTTAATTGGTTGACCCGCCCGGGTTTGGTGTGTCCTGGAGATGGGATCTGACTGGCAAGTGGAGGAAGAGGGGAGCTCACAGCGGCAAGCGTGGCCAGTTTTGGGGGGTAAGGGGGAAAGATGGGACGTCCCTGGGCATCCTGGTGATGTGACGGACAGAGGGTGTGGAAGAGGGAGTCCTTGGGCGTCAGGGAACCATGAGCCAGGAAACGGATGACCTGCCACGAGGGGGCAGGTGAGCAGCACCCCACATGGTGGAGAAAACGGAGGGCTGGGGAGGAAGGGAGGCCAGGGGGTGGTGAGGCAGCTGAGACCGGGGAGGGAGAGTGGGAACCAGTGGGAGGGAAAGCGCGGTGGAGTCTCCAGGCCCCAGGGGGTGGAGGCAGAGCTGAAGCAGGTGAGTCCCAGGTGAACACGATGGCAGTGACAGAGAGGCAGGCCTGGGTCTTGGAGACCACCTGTCCGGGGGTGGCCCCACGATAGCACGTTTCCCTGCGGTGGGGCAGGTGTGAGGAGCCCAGATCATGGTCACTCTGTAAGGTTCTTTCCAGGGAACTGTTGGTACAAATATGTGTGTGTGTGTGTGTGTGTGTGTGTGTGTGTGTGTGTGTGTGTGTGTGTGAGGGTAGAGGAGTAGGAGAAGGTTCCACATTCTCATCACCCTGCTTTCGACATGTGGCCCCCCACTTCGTTTGTGCCGCACCCACCCAGGCCTTCCTCCTCTCGTGCATTTGTTTACAGCGAATCCCAGACATCGTCTTTCATCCCCCCCACCCCACCCCCAGTTCTCTACTGTGGATCTCTTCAAGCCTAACTCCGTCGTCGGATCACCCCGATATCCTCCGGTCACCCACCTGGCCCGTGTTCCCGTGTCCCTGCTGGTCTCCATTCTCGAACAGCTCTGTGGGAGATCTGGTTCCAGACCGAGATCCACGCACCGCGTGTCGTTGATGATCGATCTCACGCTGTCTGTTAACAAAGATCATGGACACGCTTATTACAAGAGCTTACGTTTGGCGGTTCTCCCTGTTAGGTTCACTCAGCAGGCCTGCTCGGCCTCCCTCCCGCCGCCGCCGCCAGCTTCCCCGAGCTCTTTGGGACCCGGTGTGATCCCCGAGCGCGCCGCATCATCCCTCTTGTCCTTGTGGTTTAACACAGCTGGTCACTTGCTCCTTCCTTCAGGAAGTGTTTCTGGGGAGCCCGCCGCACGGGGCACGCGGCTGTGAAAAGTCACGCAGTGCCCCGCGCCCGCTGGAGCCTGCCGTCTAACCACGCGACGGTGGTTTGGGTCTGCACTTGTCTCTTCCCCCCACATGTTCGCCCCACTCGAGTCGGGCGACCGTCACAGTCACTTCTGTGCTTTCAGAACTGCTGTGTTCTAAGTCTTGGCATCCTGGACAGGAGGGGCCTCTAGAACGATCCAGGAAGCCGGGTGTGGCTCGGGTGGCAGGCCTCTTGCGGAGCCACGGGATTGGGAGTCCAGCCGTGTGTCACCGACTGCCGTGGTGTGGATGCGTTGAACACTTTTGGCCTTGAGTATCGCTAAGCAAGTCACAGCGGAGAGTCTCCTTCCCCGGCAGGTGGTGGAGAGGCTGAAGGAAACATCTGGAAGGTGCTGTGAGATGTTGAAGGGCTCCGCAGACACCGAGTGGTGCTAAGATGTTCTCTGAGCAGGTTGGCCGTTCCGACTGTGTTGTTGTGGGTGTCCGGTGGCTTGGGGGCTTTTGCCTCTTCTGATGAGGTTGTGTGCTTAGGTAGGCCCACTCGTCTCTCCATTTGCTCTTCTCCGCGGTAGGAGATCGGCCAGCCAGGCTGCCTCAGTAGCGGAGTCCCATGGTACAGTTCAGGTCCGGCTGGCTAATAAGACTGTGACCTCATCTGCATTTCTCTGTGTAAATAAGTAATCACACTTGTGCTTGGTCCATGTGACACTCTGAGACTGGTCTGTGATCCTTTTTTTTTCTCTTCTAAAGATTTTATCCATCCATTCATTAGAGAGAGAGAGAGAGAGAGGCAGAGACAGGCAGAGGGAGAAGCAGGCTCTATGCAGGGAGCCCGACGTGGGACTTGATCCCGGGACCCCAGGATCATGCTCTGGGCCGAAGGCAGGTGCTAAACCACTGAGCCACCCAGGGATCCCCCGTCTGTGATTCTTGTATTTTTTTTTTCCCTTTGCAGTTCAGATGCAGATAGATTGCAGTCGGTGGATGAGTGAGCCTTTAAAAAAAAAAAACTCTCGGGGCAGCCAGGGGGTTCAGCGGTTTAGCGCCGCCTTCAGCCCAGGGCGTGATCCTGGAGACCTGGGATCGAGTCCCACGTCGGCTCCCTGCATGGAGCCTGCTTCTCCCTCTGCCTGTGTCTCTTCACCCACCCCCCACTGCCATGTCTCTCATGAATCAATAAATAAATCTTTAAAAAAAATCTCAGTAGATCAAGTAAATGCATTCCCAGATATAAACACTAGTATTCGTTCACCTTTCCTAGAGATCTTATTATGTATTTAAGAAGGTAGAGTATAGAGTATGTTAAACGTACCGTGATACTTCTCTCCTGTCATTAAGGATTCGTAAGTTAGAGTTTGACGATACGTCTTATTTTCCTCCAATTACTTGACCTTTGACTATTTTGCCCAGAGAGCTGTGCTGGTTACAGTTCTGAGCGGATCCCCCAGCGTGTGTGCGTCCCTGTATGATTTCTCTACCGTGTGTTGTACTAACACGTTACGTACAGTATAAAATACAAAATGAAAAGAATCAAAGGCGGTTGTGGTGCAGTGTATTCTCTGGGCCTTCCTCCCCTGTGAACCGCTCAGGGTCCTGACTCAGGGCAGCCCGTCTGCCTGGCGGCCCATTCCCGCCCCCTCACACGCTCAGGACTCATGGCCCCATTACTCCATCTCCTCCTGGCATCACTAGTTTTGCCTCCTCTCTGCTGGATCCCTTCCATGTGCTGTTGTTTCTCTCAGCTTGAGATCTTCTTTGACCCCACCCCTTCCAGCTCCTGCCTCCAGAGAGTCTTCAGTGCCCAGAGGCCTGCACTTCCCCTCTTGACTCCCTCCGGGCAGGCTTGTCCCCACCACCCTGGGGGAAAGCGCTCCCACCGAAGCCAACCATGACCACCACGTTTCTAAATCTCGCCATCGCTTCTGAGTCTTCATCCCAGCGGCTTCAGCATCCTGGTGCAGCTGGCCCTAGCCTTTTCTCTGAAGCTTGCTCTTCATTTGGCTTCCAGGATGATATTTCTGGTTTTCCTTCCGTCTCATTGGGTGTTCCTTTGCAGCATCTCTTCTCCTTGACCTCAAAACATGGGCCCCTTCCTGTCCATCTTTTCTCTTTCTCTCTGTGACCCTCTCCCAGCCCCTGGCTTTTAGTACCGTCTACATGAATAATGTCTAGAACTTGCTTCAAAGTAACCCTGGCAGGGCAGCCCGGGTGGCTCAGCGGTTTAGCGCCACCTTCAACCCAGGGTGTGATCCTGGAGTCCCAGGATCGAGTCCCACGTTGGGCTCCCTGCATGGAGCCTGCTTCTCCCTCTGCCTGTGTTTCTGCCTCTCTGTGTCTCTTATGAATAAATAAATAAAATCTTTTTTTTAAAGTAATCCTGGCAGATAAACAAGATTGACCGAGCATTGATAACAGTTGGAGCTGGGTGATGGGTACCTAGGGGTCTGTTACACTGTTCTCTCTAGTTTATGTTTGAAATTTTTCCATAATGAAAAGTTAAAGATTGATATGCTGATGGCTCCCAATTATTTGTGGGCCCCCAACCCTCTCCTGAGGTACAGACCTATGCATCCATCTGCCTACTTCACATTTTAACTTGGATGTTAATAGGCATTTCACACGCACATGCCCAAAACCAAACTCCTGTTTTTCCCACACAGTTATATTCTTCCTGCAGTGTTCCATCTTGCTTATGGGAATGTCATCCTTCCAGTGGCTCATGCCGGATACCTATGGTCATGCTTGACTTCTCCTATTCTCTTGCATTTTTTTTTTATTCAACTCATCAGCAAATCCTGTTGACTCTACCTGCAAATATATATCTAGTGTATGACTCATTAGAACCACTTCCACTGTCGTCCCCCTTGTGCAAGCCACCATCATTTCTCACCTGTTTGTCCTTGGCCCCTGACAGGCTGTGTAACCCTCACAGTAGGCAGAAGGATCCCATGGTACAGAAGTCACATCATGCCTCGCCAGGCTCAGAGCCTTGCAGTGGCTTCTTTTCCCACTCAGGGAAGGCCATAGTTCTTAGTGTGGCCTAGGGGACCCAGTAGCTTAGAAACGTGGTCCACCAGAAATAGAACGTGAGTTGCACATGAAAGCCACATGTAGGTAGCTTAACATTTTTCTGGTAGCTGACTTGAAAAAAAGAGAATGAAACAGGTGAAATTAATCTTTTTTTTTTAAAGTGTTATGACTATTATTTTTTAATGAAATAGAGATGATAGACATAGAAAGAGAGAGAGAGAGGCAGAGACACAGGAGGAGGGAGAAGCAGGCTCCATGCCAGGAGCCCGACGTGGGACTCAATCCCAGGACTCCAGGATCGTGCCCTGGGCCAAAGGCAGGCGCCAAATCGCTGAGCCACCCAGGGATCCCCTAATCTTAATCATTAACCCAGTGTGTCAGAAATACTTTGATTTCTGATGTATATCACAGGGGTTTTCAAACTAAGTCACACCCATAGCACATCTCCGTTGGGGTTAGCTACGCATCTGGTGCTCCACAGCCTCGTG